CTAGGAATGGGGAAGAAGAAAAGGGAGAAAAGAAGAAGAAGAAAATGTTAGGGTTTCCCTTTTGTTTTGTTTTAAAACAATTTTCCCTCAATAAAAGGCCAATCATCCAAGCCCAATGAAGAAGGAGTCCATTCCCTCAAAACAAGACCCAACATACCAAGTTCGGTAAATATTAATTTAATTGGATTTTTAGAGCCCGATAAATATAGATAAATTCAACTAACATTCACTTTGAAATTTAAATGAAAAAAATCTCCCGATTCGAGACTAACTAACCTGAGGGACTCGGGGCGTTACAGACTTCCCTCCTTCAAAAACTTTCGTCCTTGGAAGTTGACTATTCTAACAGTTCAGGCTATCTCGCCTTGATATCGTCCTCCCGCTCCCAAGTAGCTTCTTCCACTTGGTGGTTCCTCCACAAAACCTTAACCAAGTGAATCGTCCGGTTCCTCAACAACTTGGTTTCTCTTGCCAAAATTCTGACGGGTATCTCCTCGTAGCACAAGGACTCATCCAGTTGTAATGGTTCAGGGTCCAAGACGTGTGAGGGGTCATGAATGTACTTCTTCAACATAGACACATGAAACACATTGTGAACTGCTACCAACGATGGTGGCAAGGCCAACCTATACGCGACTGCCCGATACATTCCAAAATTTCAAAAGGCCCAATGAACCTTGCGCTGAGCTTGCCCTTCTTCCCAAATCGCAAAAATCCCCTTTACGGGTGCCACACGAAGAAACACCCGTTCGCCTACCACAAACTCGAGCTCTCTACGCCTGACGTCTGCATAACTCTTTTGACGGCTCTGTGCGACTTGTATGCTTCCCCTGATTTTTTGAATGGCACTGTTAGTCGCCTGCACCAAATCCGGTCCCAAGAGAACTCTTTCTCCGACTTCATCCCAATTAACCGGAGATCGACACGCCTTCCCATACAGTGCCTCGTATGGGGCCATCCCAATCGTGGCCTGAAAACTGTTATTATAAGCGAACTCTATTAGGTAGAGATACTTGTCCCAACTACCACCAAAGTCTAACATGCAAGCTCTGAGCATGTCCTCTAAAACCTGGTTCACGCGCTCCGTCTGACCATTGGCTTGGGGGTGAAACGCTGTGCTAAAGTCCAACTTAGTACCCAGGGACTTGTGTAGACTCCGCCAAAAAGTCTAGGTGAAACGCGGGTCTCGATCGGACACTATGGATACCGGTATACCATGTAGCCTGACAATTTCATGCAAATACAGTTCCGCCCATTTTTCTACTGTATACGTGGCCTTGCCGGGAATAAAGTGAGCAGACTTGGTTAAACGAT